CCTTGCCCCCTTTTACCCCCCAGCCCCCTCCCTCTCCCCTGGCCCACAACACAGCACAGGGGCCGCTTCCCAGCGGGTTGTTCGTCTGTGTGGCTGAGGCATTTGGGGTCGTCCTGGGACCCTCAGGTCCACCTTGCGGTTGCGCCTGGGGAAGACACGGGCTCCGTGTCCCACCCCGCTGTGTCCCCCACGATTAGCTTTTCCCCAAGAAAAGGCTGGGTGGCCTGAGTTCGGGTTTCCCTGCCCTCCCTCCTGTGGGGGACTAAGAGCATCTGGCCGCTGCCATGGCCTGGCTCACTGCAGGCCCTGGTTCCACATTAACTGAGGGCCTACTGTGTGAATGCAGGCCTAGGCTTGCACTTCTCCCATGTCCGCCCCACCCCCCATCTGGGCTGGGAGGCGGCGTGTCTGCCCCCTCCCAGGTGAGGCTCGGGTCATGTCCTATGCCCCGTGGCACAGGAGGGCGCACGAGGCTGGGCCCAGGCTTCAGGTTCCTTGTGGATGAAGTGCAGGTTCCTGTGGCCAGATCCTCACCTGACCCTAGACTGCGTGGTGATGCAACGGGCCTGCTGCCGGGCCCCTGCTCCCACACCCTAGGCAACCAGCTCTCACTGACTGAGTCACTGTATAAAGAGCTCTGCCCAGGGCTCTGGACGGAGACAGAGATGGAGGATTATAGGTCTGCAGACTGCTGGACGCAGATGTGATCCTAGTGCTCGACCAGAACAAGCCGGGTAATAAACCCTTTCACCCCGAGAACATCCATCATCATTCCTCAGTCTCACTGAATCCATAGTGAACTTGCGCGGGGCTGAAACCCATTGGCAAGACAGGGGTCTTTGCCTCATCAGGGCACGAGGATGGCTGGAGCCCGCGTCCTCCCCATCAGGTCTGGTCTGCCTCTCACCCCCTCTCAGCAGGGCTCCTGCCCCAGGGCCTTTGCACTTGCACGGCCTCTGCCTGGAGCTCGTTCCAGACCTTGGAATGCCTCACTGCCTCCTGGCTCTGATGTCCACATCTGGGCAGGGCCTTCTCCCATGGCCCGTTCAGGACCCCCACCCAGCCCTGCTCCCTGTCTTAGTCTGGTCCCCCAGTCACTCTGGGGAGCATCTTGTGTGCCTGTTTATTCTCTCTTCCTGGGTTCCAAGGCAGAGACCTGGGCTTTATTCTCTGCTGTGTCCCCCAGGTCCAGGGATTTTGGCCCCAAGGGAAGGCCTGGCCCAGGCTGGGGAGTGAGGAGAGCCTGTTCCTGCTGGTGGGCGGTGTCTGAGGGGCTGCTGGGCTCCTCTGCCAGCTGTCCTGGGCACAGATTCTGCAGGGCAGAGGTTGAGAAGGGCTGCGGGGAGGGAAGGAGCCTGAGGGGCCAGGCCTGAGGGGGGGGTGCTGCGGGTGCCAGCAGGACCCCCTTCCAGCTGCTGGCCTGTCGGCAGCGCCTGCATGCCGGGGAGCTGCCACGTGGGCCAGCCTGCCGCCTACCCCTCCTCCACGCATGTTCAGGAAGTGAGCTTCTCCTCCTCCTCTTCTGGGCTGCCGCCCAGGAGGCTGGGCCTGTGGCGAGGAGGCGGGCTCTGGCCAGGGAGTCCCACCCCCCACCAGAACCCTGTACGAGCCACTCCCCAGCTCCGACCTTCCTGAGCCCCGAAGCCCAGAGCAGAAGCCTGGGCTTGGGAGCAGCAGGGGTCAGCTGCCCCCACATGTTCTGAGTGGGGGTTCCCGGATACCCCCAGAGCCTCAGGACAGAGCAGTGAACACACTCTAGGCTGGTAGCTGGGCTGGAACTCCACCTGCACCTCCTGTTGGCCAGTGGCTGGCGAGCTGCTTCCTCGGTCCAGGTGGGGTTTGCAGGTCTGCCCAACAGCCCGTTGCACCTGACACTGCCAGGGGGCCAGATGGCTGTAGCCGAGGTATGTGTGTGTGTGGAGAGGCAGGCAGACGGGAGAGGGTTTGCATTCCAGCTCAGCCTCAGCTGTGTGGCCTTGAGTAGGTGGTTTTCCCTGCCTGAGCCTCAGTTTCCCTGCTGGTGAAACGGGCGCTTAGTAAATGCTCAGTTACTGGGAAAAGTAGGCGCCTCATGACAGCTACTCCTCCCCCAAGTCCTGTCTCTAGGGATGTTCTAGTGCTTTCTGCTGGGCCTGGTGGGAAGCCTCAGCCCTCAGGCAGGGAGCTGGTACCAGGCTGCAGGAACCTGTGGCTGCAGGTGGGACGAGAATCCCTGGAAAGAGGAGGGTGTGGGTGGCAGGCACGCACAGGGGTGCCTTCCTAGCGCCACCACTGCCCCCTGCCCGGCTTCCTGGGTGTCAGCCCCCAGATGGCTGTGCTCAGCAGCCTGCCCTCCGTCTAGGAGGAGCTGTGGTCGGGACGCCCACAGTTCTTCTCCAACACGGCTGAGTCAGCCTGCGGGACCCGGGAGGGCTGGGGAGGCTAGCTGCACGGGCTCCCTGGGGCCTTGAAGAGCCAAAGGGCCTGCTCTTGGCAAAGCTCTGGCCGTGCCCGGAGCCAGGAGCCAGGAGCCAGGCCGGGAGGCCCGGATGAGGTCACATTACAGAGCACGCCTGTGCCCGCTCCTGCAGGCAGTCAGATGGCCCTGTTCCTGGCGCCCCCCCCCTGCCCCCTCCCCCTCCTTCCCCCACCCCCATCTCTCTCCGTCCCCCCCCACACCCTCCGGCGCTGTTTGACTCATCCACCCTTGTAAATGTGCCCTGGAGCACACTTTGGAATGGGAAAGAATTTTAGGTCGTTGTGAAGTTTTATTTAGGAAATATAGAAACCAGGTGGAGAAAATTAGCTGCATTTAGCTTTTATAGCAGTTTTGACATGTATTAAAAAATGCTTCATGTGCACTGTTTGCAACTCATTTCAAGGGAAGTGGAAAAAGTTTTGTATTCAGTATTTGAGGAAAATTCAAGCGGATCCCATAGGACCCAGTTCTCCGCGAGCCTCCCTTTCCTGAAAGGTCAGCAGGAGGAGCTGTGTGAGCGCCGGGTGGAGGGGTGGAGCGTCCTGGGCCGCGGCAGGGCTGCCCGGGGCCTCCCACCGCACCCGAGGCCAGGCTGGGCTGAGGCTGCCCCAGACCCGCTACCCCTTTTCAATTCGCTCCCACAAACCGAGCTGACCACTCCACGCCCCAGCTTGGGATTTCCCCCCTCGGCTGGGAGCGTGGGGCCCCCAGACAGCCGAGGAGCAAGGTGAGGGACGGCCCTGCTCCGTCTTAGGGGTGTCATTCTGACTGGTGTGCCGGGGTCCCCTGGTCCGGCCTCATCTCCGCCAGGCCTGCCGGCCCTTGCCTTTCAGAAGGAACACAGTTCTCTCCACGCACATGGCCCCGTCCCGGCCTAGGACTCCTCAGCGTGTCACCACCGCTGGGGCTGGTCTGTACCCTGCCGGGGCACAAACCCTGTGTCTCTGCTCAGCCTCTTCCCCGGGTGGCCCTATGACCTGGCTCCTTGCTCTGGCGCCCTCGGACTCACATACTGCATGTACCCCCGGTCTCCACCCCCTGGGGTCCTGTCCCCTCTTCCTAAACAGGCTGTGACCTCACTGACTAGTGACAGGCCCAGCATTTGGCAGGGAGGTGGGGGGCACATGCTGTCTCATGGGGTCAGTGGCCTCTTGGGGCCCGGTGGGCCCACACTCAGAGGGCTGAGGAGCTGGGGAGGGAGCTCGTTCACACAATCCTACCCATGTGCCCTGATCGTGGCCAAGCAGGCCTGTCGTGGCTGTTGGCTGTCTGTAGAGTCCAGCCACCCTGCGCATCCAGGACTCCACCGCCATGCAGGCCCCTGGCTTTCATGCCTGGGTTCCGACTGCCTGCTGCTGGGCCTTAGGTGGCCCTGTGCTTCTCTGGGGCACCAGTGGGCTGGGGGTGACCCTCCGGTGCCTGGGTCCCCCCAGCTGGGGTGGGGGCTCGGCCGTGTCCTCCGGGGCAAAGTTGCACATGTGGACCGCCATGTCAGACGGCTGCCTGTGAGTGGCTTGCTCCCCGCCCAGCGGGGCCTGCCTCCTCGGAGCACTGTCTCAGATGGGGTGTTCTGGAAGCAGGCCTGGAGTTTGGGAGCAGATGTGTGTGCGGGATCCATGCTGCCAGGGCAGGAGGAGGCAGGTTGGGTGGGGCCGGTGGCTGTAGGCCCACGTGGCCTTGCCCAGCCCCGCAGGGTGCCCGAGCAGGTGGCCCTGTCAGAGCCTCGTGCCGCTCTGTGGTGGCTGGGCCTTTAGAGGCCTCCCTGCTGGGATGCCAGAGGGGGCTTGGCTTCACAGCCCCTACAGCCTGGGTGACCCGAGGGAGGGGACAGCTGGAGGCGGTGCTGGCCGCTCCCAACGGTGGGGAAGGGGGCCCGCAGCAGAGGGCCCGGGTGACGTGTCTGTGCCAACTGCAGGTCCTCCAAAGGTGTGGGAGCCTCACGCTCTGGAAGGATGCTCCACCCTCCTGCCTTACAGACAGCGATGCAGAGGTGAGTGCCCAACAGGTGCCCACCCAGCCCGGTGTGCTGTGCAGGTGGGCTTCTACTTCCCTGACCGTCTTCCCAGGGGGCTGGCAGCCCCGTGCGGGTGGCGGGGCCTGCAGTTTGCTGTGTAACCGTGTCTGGGCCTGGCTCAGCCGTATCTGTTCTGAGCACCAACGATGTGCCAGGCTCCGATGATTTTCCAGAGGAGGTGCAGTGCAGCCACCCTCATGCACCTTCTGTGGGGCCCCCACCCCGTCAGGACTTGGGGGCTTCGACATCCTCTAAACTCCTAGGGGCGGGGGCTGCTGGAGACGCTGGTGGGAGGCAGAGGGAGGGGCAGAGGCGGCCGGGGAGGCCCTGCCTGAGCCTGGCAGGGTTGAGGGTCCTTCTTGGGCTCTGCTCACATGCCCAGCCGCCTGGGGCGGTGAGGCGGAGCGGGCAGGCAGTGGGTGCAGCCGACACAATCTCGGATGCTCTTCTGAACATTTCAAGGGAGGAAAAGCTTCTTGGTTTAGGGCGCTCGGGGGCCAGCAGAAGAAATGACCTTTCAGACAGCTTACAGAGCAGCAGCAAACTGTGAGCCAGACACTGGCTTTAGGAGGTGTTGGTGAAGGGGGGAGAGCTGGTAGCGCTGACCTGCACGGGCTCCCCCAGGGCTCCTCTGTCTGTGGGAATGGGTGGGTCTTGTTGCGGGGCCCTGACTCACTTTGGGGACCACGTGGCAGGATTCGCTGGCCAGACTGGGAAGGGTGATGCTGTGCTGGGCAGAGGAAGCCACGCTCGCCCATCCCCCCAGGGAGAGCTGCCCCGGGTGCCAGCGTCTCCCCCCCAACCCCCGAGGCCACATGTGGGAAGCCTCAGAGAGGCAGGTCCACTCAGTGTAACCACATCCCCCAAAACCTATTTCCCCATGGCACCCTCGTTTCTCAGGACACCTGTCACTCATGCACACACTGGTGTTCTGTGGAAAGCATTGTGGGAAGTGTTTGGCAACACTCTTTCTTGTCAAAGGAAATCAGAGAGAGTCCAGGGTAGAGGCCCTTGTCCGTGGCTGAGGGAGAGACAGCAAACCCTCTCTGCCAGTGGCCCTGGGGGTTTGTGAGGGGCTGAACGTCTGTGTCCTGCCCCTGCCAAATTCATAGCCTGAAGCCCCAGGCCCCAACACGACAGTATTTGGAGGTAGGCCTTTCTGGAGTTAATTCTGGTTAAATGAGGGCATAAGTATGGGGCCGTGGCCCTGTAGAATTAGTGCTCTAAGGAGAGACTTGATCTCTCAGTCTCCCTACCATGTGAGGACTCAACGGCCACCAAGTCAGCAAGAGGCTCCGCCAGAAACCAGATGGGCTGGCACCCTGATCTGGGCGCCCAGCCTCCAGAACTGTGAGGACTGTGCTGTTTAAGCCGCGCAGGCTGTGGCTCCAGGGCCCTGGGCTCAGCAAGGCCAGTGCAGGGTGATCGGTGGTCTTGACTGAGCACATGTAAGCGTGGTGCCCTCGAGCGGCCGCCGGCAGAGGGCCAAGACTGAGCGCCTTCTGATGGTCCGAAAGCTCAGAGGAGGAGGCCACATCCTGCCACCTGAACCAAACTAAGTCCCCGCATCCCAGGTGGCTTGGAAATCTGGGGCCTGAGTTTGTGCTTTTGTGTGGGACCCTCCCTCCTGTTAACGGGTCCTGGGAGCCTTCACGCCCTCCAACGTCCTGGTAGTATACTGTGGCATGACTGTTTACGTTGCAGAAATTGTTTTATTTAAAATGCCTCAGCATAATAAGTCTTCCATCCATACTGCTGGCCGTGTTCGAGCCCCTCGCACTGAACATGTGGTCTAGTGCTGCGCCCCAATACCCCAAACTTAGCAGCTTGAAATAACACAGGTTTACCCTGGGGTGGTTCCTGTGGGGGCATCTGGGTGCAGCTGGTCCTCTGCCAGGCTGCCCATCAAGAGGCTGGTAGTGTCTGGCTCTCCTCACACGGCCCCGCCGGGGGTCCAGGGCCTTGGGGGCTGTCATACGAGGGCTTTAGTTTCTTGCTGGCTGTCACCCAGAGGCTGTCCCAGGCCACCCTCAGTCACATGGGGCCCTCTGGTGTGGCAGCTTTCTTCAACAAAGCCAGCAAGGGCCAGTATCTTTTCTTCATGAAAACCAGCAGGATGGGTGTCACGGTATTCAGTAAAGTAGTCACAAAGGTGATGTCCGGAACCTTTACCATATTCTACTGGGTACAGTAAGTCACAGGTCACACCCCCACTCAGGGAGAAGGGCCTGGATTCCCAGAGGCATGAGTCAGGGAAGACGCTTAGGATCTAAGTCAGCTGATTGGCCCCCAGTGATTCAGGTGAAGTACAGTCATTTTGCAAGGCCCGCAGGTGACGCAGCCCCTTACAGCATCGACTGCAAGTCTGGAACTCACCTGCTGAACCAGGCCCCGTGATTTGACTGGTCCCGTGATGCAGACCCCCCATCTCTTCATAGGGGCATCAGTGCGACTTAATACTCTGATCCTTTGATTTTTCTGAATTATAGCCAAAGATTGTACAAGTACACTCTTAGCTTTTTCTCGGCACCATTACTTTCCTGACCGTGCTCGGAAGCTATTTCTTAATCTCCGCCCAGTTGTCACTTGGAGAGGCTTAGAATTTTTTACATCGTCAGGTTCTTGTGCTTTTCTCCTCCAATTTAGCTCTTTCCTTTTGGATTTTATCACGAGCAGGAGGACAGAGCCGAGTGGGGTTTTGCCCCCCGAGTCCCGCTGGGCCCTGACTGACCTTCCTCCTTCCCAGCCAGGCCCTGGGTCTGGAATGACCCACGTTGGGCTCTTGCTCGGAATGCACCAGACGTCTTTTGCTTCTTGTAGTTTGCATCAGTTTATCTTGTAGGTGGTTGTGTTTCTGCCCCCTGGCCGTATGGACAGGACCGTGTCTTGGCAAGGTCTTCATGATGTGACACTAAGCTCCTTAAAGGCAGTGGCCTTGCGTCTCCTCAAGCCCAGCACGGGCTCTGTGCATGTGGGACCACAGACATTCCCAGCTGCCAGTGACGCACATGATTCCAGAGCTGAACAGACCCCGAGAGACCCCCTTTCCTCACCCTGCCGTGAGGGCCGGTCGGCTCAGAGGGAGAAGAGAGCTGGCACAGGCTACGGGTAGATGGGTGATGGGCTTGGCACTGCCCCCAACCTCTGACTCATCATTTCTGCCCAAGAAAAAGGAGAGTGGGAGAGACTACAGAGGCTGGGGACCGGGAGCACAGGCGTGTGGCCTCTGGGAGCGGGGACAGCCCAGGCCCGAAGGGACCAGCGCATCCGGAAAAGGTGCCCCAGAGCACAAGGTGCTGCCCTCGGCTTCTGCAGGGAAGTGCATTCCTGTGTCAGTGCAGGTGGAGACCGCATCCTGAGATTTAGATCAAGTTCAGTTCACAAACCAACCACGTGCAGCCCTGGGACCTTCCTGCCCCTTCTCTGGGGCCGCAAAGCTGGTGCTGGCCCGGGCCTGGCAGAGCTCAAGGGAAAGCAGGTCCCAGGCTCCTTGCAGGTCCGACAGGCCCAGGACTCCTGCATGCTTGACTGCCGGTTCACCAGGGTAGAGACAGAGACGTGCCCTCCCACTCAGAGCGGAGCCTTGTCAGGGTGGGGCAGTGGTGAGTGTCCCACCTCGGAGTTGCTGAGGGTCAGGCACCATTGCTCAGCTTCTTTATCTGTCCCTTATGAACAAGGACCTGGCTCTGTGTGCCTCACTGGGTGGTACCGAATGTCAGGAGTGTGGCATCTCAAGGCTCTTTGAGGTGGGGGGACACGTACCCGCAGGCAGGATCAATGCAGTGGTGTTGTCCAGGGCCCTGCTCCCCGGAACAGCCGCGGGGGACGCCTCTGGCTGTGTTTGACGGGCTGAACGTGTCCACACGCTCTGACATAGCAGCTCTTCTCCGTAGGAAGATGTGCTCAAACCTCGACGGCTGAGCTGTTTGAGAGCCTGACCTGAGAAGCAACCCAGCTGTCCCTCGCAGGACAGTGGCATGTAAGTCACGGTGCACAGGTACACACAAAACACAGCAACGGAAGTGAATGACCCTGGCTGTGTGAAAACACAGGTGAACATCAAATGTCTGGGGCAGAAAAGACTCAGTATCCGACTCCAAGGAGCACAAAGCCATTCACGTGAAGCTGGAGAGCCGGCACTTCTGAGCGGTGGGTCCTCAGGGGACGCAGGGGCAGCGAACTGGGTGGGGAACAGGATCCAGGCGCTGAATGGAGGGCAGTGGTGGGACACGAGACTGGGGTGCATAGTGGTTTCAAAACAACTGGTGAAGTTTTATTTCCTAATCTGGGTGTTAAGCATGGGAACTTCACTTTCACTGGCCTTTAAAACATGCTGTGTCATAAGCTCTGGGTCTGGTACCCAGGATAATTGGTACCGACTGGCTCCCCCATGCCAGGCCTTCATGCGTGTAACCCTTCCTGTCCATCTGTGGTGTCACCACCCTCATTGTTGCCCCCATGGTCTGCTGCCAGGGACCAGCTGGAAGGTGTGCAATGACATCTCCCAACGCCCCTGCTGCCCTTGGACAGAGCTGTGTGGCTGAGGTCAGGCCAACAGGATGTGGGTGGACATATGTATGTACATGTGCCACCGGGACCCTGGTCCACAAGCACCCCCACGCAGTGCCCCTTCCTTCGCTGACCGGATGTGAGTGTGGACTCTAATGTCCAGGGTGACTTGAGAGGCCACACATCAAAGGTGGTGGCACCCCTGCCAGCCTGGGTCCCCGGCCTGGAATGCTAGGCCACCCACCCCTGCGATCACTGGATGTTACCAGAACAAGAAGTCAACTTTTACCTGCTCAAGCCGCAGAGATTCAGGCCTCGTGTGACCGTAGGGTCAGCACACTGTGCTGAGAGCCACACTGGCCTGCTGCCTGCTTTTACGGGGTCCTGGGGTAAGAATGGTTTTTACCCTTTCAAGGATTATGTTTCCACTGGGCACACACGCCTACTTAACTATCCATTTTGCCTCT